AAAAAAAAAAAAAAAAAAAAAAAAAAAAAAAAAAAAAAAACTGAAAAAAAATGCGACACAAATTTCGTGTGGTGGGGGGAAGAATTTGCTGAGAGAAAAGAGCACAGTGAAAAAAAAAAAGTGTCATACCTCATCTTCGTTTTCATTCATTATGCGTGATAGCATCGGTGAGAATCGGCCAGTAGTGTTCAACACCCGTCTTCTCATACGATCAACAGCAGCAATCCGTTGACGAAGTCATTCGCAAACAATCAGTTGCAGTGAGACGCTACTGCTTCTGAAATATGCATTTACGGGCGGAAAAAAACAGCTGCAATTGATCCTGGAACACGGATGCATTAACAAGTGAGATAGACGGACGGGCGGGGGGTCTTTCGACGGCGACTAATTCGGGATTCGAAAACAGCGGCTAGGAGGATGATACCTCCCTGAAGTCCAGCGATTCATTTCAATGCCCTCCATCGGTTACTAGCACGGCAGCTGCTTTATGCTTGCTTTTTCCTCCAGAAAAAAAGGAACCCAAAAACCACACCATCTTTACAGCAACAACCGGAAGAACCTACAATTACCACAGTACATCAGACCCGTAACATCCACTTTTCTTTTTCCGGCAATTACCAAAACTCGGCTCAGCTCAGCCCAGCTGGCGTAATACACGAATTGCAAAAAATTTTTTTTGATGACGGCGAATAAGGCATCGCACGGCGAGTGGCGGGAGCTCAAATGTGACAGGTGAGGGCAGGGGGAGGGGCAGCGGGAGTAAGGGTAGGGTGCTGTGGGTTTCGCTCAAGGAGGGGAAGGAGGCTGGGGCAGATGAATTCAATGGCTACATAGCGTAGATCCTTTTCGACTGCCTAGGTCACTTACATTTGGAGGGCAGAGGAGGAGGGGGTGATGGGTGGAAAGGAGAAGAAAGTACGCGGATGATTTTTGCGGCGATACCTGGGATAGGAAAAGGGCTGAAAATATTGCTTGCTTCCAGAGTGCTCCTTTAGTGGAGATGGAGAGAAGCTCAGGTATTGCTTGTGGGCAGGAACAGGGCAGAGAAGGCGAACGAGAATACAAGTCAGGAGCTCGAAGCAAGAAGTTGAGAGAGCAGTAAAAAAGCCTTCCTCCAGAAGCAGACTTTTTAGTACCACAGTTGACTTCGTTTTGTTGCAAAATCCAAATTAGAAGGAACTCTGCGCGCACTTTTCTTCACCGTAGGATCGAATGAGCAAAGCAAATTAGGCGTCCCTTTTCGGTGAATAAATTAAGAAACCACGATGACGAGGCAAAAACAACTCCTGCTTGTTTCATAGCACCCAATCACCGTCCCGTACTTGCTTTTCACAGAAGCATGTATCCGCAACAGCCTCCCATGCGCACACCGCTATTCATTTTACAAGTAAAAACTGATTTAACAACTACGCTCTTTGTAAATGCACCCACAAAATCGAGGCAATGACCACAAAATTTAGCCGCTCTAGCTTTCATGCTTTTGGACTAGAATTATTTTGACACACATACACTCTCATACACGCACGCACACACACATATACGCAAACATACACATTCACACACACACACATACATACACACACATGCATGCAAGAACGAATTCGTTGTGCCACTTTCTTTTT